CTTTTGGGCCTTGTTTAACCTTGCCCTTTTCTTGGCATCCGAGTCCTGCTTCACCTCTTGATCACCAGCACTATGCAATAGCAGTTCAAACTCTGCCTGTAACATTTCAGCTAGTTGTGTCGCAGTTTCAGAGGTCGCCGAGTAGTCCACCCCCAATTTCTCCCGAAAGGATGCCACTCTGAAATGAACCGTAGGGTGTTTTGCCAGCAACGCGGATGATAAACCATCCAATCCCTTGATAAGCAAGGTAGCGTCCGGCTCTGCCGCTCTCAACTCCCTTAATCGGGAACGCCATTGCGCCCATTGACGCACTCCCTTTATGGCCTCTGAGATCGAGGTTGCTGAAGATGGTTGCACCAAGAAGTTCAACATTGTGCTGCGCTCATTTGCTCAACCTGGTTGGTAGACCGTCAGCAATTTGTAAAATATCATCACTGACCCCAACATTCGAGTGGAAACGATCTCGGTCTTCAATCTCTCCGGAATCGCCTGCAGCAGCAAAGACACCGCTCTCTGCTCCAACAAAACATGCACAGTTTGAACCACTTTGAGCCCTTCCAGCTCAGCCTTGATGCCCAACCTTTCCAGCGGAGAAACACTCAACCATTTGGCATACGCTTGATATGCCTTTGAATAGACGCATTGCCACCACACTCTTCCTGTATCTGTCAGCGAAGACAACATTGGTTCGATCATTGCGATCCAATCACCCAGTGCCGTCGGATTGCTTGGTGTGTAGTCTGCCAAAGTAGGAAGGCTCATCACATGCTTCCCAAGAGCCTCCGGACGTTCGGTTCCAGAACTATCACCAATGATTGGCATACCACGTGGCACCACTGCTCCAGGAGGTAAACTGACCCTACCACCAGGCCCTTGAGGCAGTCCATGTCCTATACCAGGCGTAACAGCTGTGAGCGGAACCTTTTCTAATTCCAACTTCCCAGCGACCATTTTCCACCGATACGGAACATCATCCACCATTGTATATCCACCCGATCCTGCTGAGTTCTCTTGCGTCGCAGTTTCGCGAGCTGAAACAAAACCGGGCTGGTTCCCCATAGGTGCGACAGAACCATCAGCACCCGACGGCAAGGAAGTAATCGGAACATGTGTTAAACCAGGTGGTCCACTTGCATATCCACCACTTGCAGGACCTCCCGTGGGGTGATTCAATGGAGGCAATCTGGAGGGTTTCTTCCCTTCAGCTACATGCATCATTGGCACTTCTTTTTCATCCTCCACTTGAGCATCCCCCTTCCTGGACCCAGGCAAGGATTGAAGATCACAACCCTTTGGCAGGTCGTAGCCCTCAATGGGCAGCCATGTCCCATCAGGCAACACAGTCCAAAAACCACCCATACCATCAGTGTAGAAAACTTGTCCTGGCAGGTACTGTTTCTCTGGAGTCATTCCCAAAGGATATGCAGCGTTTGCGTCCACCACTCCAGTGCTCCGTGCTCTCGAAGCTGACCCAGATGCAGCAGAGGTATAGCTTTTCTCCTCCACCCGGCAACCTGTTCCCCAGCTCCTTTGTTTGCACAAGCAACTCCTTCAGCGCACGCTTTACCACCGCCATATCTTCACTTTGTTCTTCCCCACCAACATCAGGAATGAGCTCTTCCTCTACTTGCGCTCCATCAATAGTACCTCGTTCCATCTGGCCCATTAAGCCTGACGATGGTCTCTCAACAGGTGCAGGTTCCTGACCCAAAAGATCTTGCAGCGAAGGTGGCCTCCTCGTATTTTCACCACTTCTATCCCCTCCGCTCGCAGGAAGACTTGCCGGCCTTGATTGCCTCAGTCTCATTTCTTCTTGAGCCCGCTCGCTCCAGAAAGGATTTGCTGCTGGAACCGGAACCACTTCGTTTTCCACCTGAGACGTTGGTTGTATCATTGCAACCTCCCTACCATCTGTCAGCGCTTGTACCACTTGTTGTCGTTCTTCACCCCCATCACCACGATTTTCTTCGGCTTCATTGGCCGCGGATGACAGTCCAGGTTCCGACCGACGCCGCAACATGTCCATTGCGCCAAACAAGCGTAGAATTTTACCTACACCGCAGGAAGCCTAATTTGGGCTCATAACCTACGGGGGCAACCGAAAGGGGAAGGGAATCAACCCAAACAGTCGCCAGAGGTTTCACCCTGAACCAACCAGCAAACACCAAGAACTCAAAACTTCTTTTTGCTACCAGGCGCATGGCCCAGTCTTGAGCCAATAAGATTACCAGGTACATTGACCCTTCAACTTTCAACACCAGCTCTTTTCTACAATACCAACTGCAGCTCCGCACCCTAAACCCTAAACCCTAAACCCTAAACGGGGTACTATAATCCCTACTAAGGACTGTTGGTGTAAGGGGGAACAGCCCAAGCTCTGGGGATTTAGAACTTGCCCTCAGAAGATACACCTTTGCAAACAGTTCTGTTGCCAAGCATGAGGACCTTGCAGGCTGCTCCTGAACAAGAATGCCCCTTAAACCCTGAAGACGAACGAAGTCTCTCAGTCTGCTCACTATAACCTGTTCATTTTCTTTTCCCTTCTCGGCATGTATTACTACATGTCTTCAACTTAAACCCGTCAAACTTTTCAACATCCTGTGGGACACAGCACGATTCACATATTCTCTTCTTTTCCATCTTACTAGATTACGACGCTAGCCTTTAGACATAGTTAGACAACTCTTCTAATATGTATAAGAACATTCCAGCATTTAGAAAGGCATCGGGCAACAAAAGAAGCAATGAGCGGGGAACACCTCCAAACTAAATGACCATTACCAAATGAAACTTATGCAAAGGATTAATTCATGACTTGTTGAATTCGTATATTGCTTTAGACATGTTGTTATGAATCTGTTCCGTCCCTAAACCCTAAGCCCTAAACCCTAAACTCTAAACCCTAAACCCTAAACCCTACTTCCACGCTTCCATCAATGGAGCCCGTCACTACATTTTGGGTTTGTCTTACAAGCATGCCATCTTTCAGCGGCTGGGCGTAGGCTCTTGGAGTTGAAAGTTGTATCTTATAATATTATATAATATTAGAAAATATATTATATAGTATTATATAGTATCATATAGTAGTATATAGTAGTGTACAATAGTATTATACAATATCATATAACATTAGATGATGTTATGTGCTCTTCTTTTCCATGCAGAGTTGAAATACAAATCTGATACGATACAACCGCTAAGCCGCACCTGCGGTTCATTGGGTTTAGGGTTTAGGGTTTAGGGTTTAGGGTTTAGGGTTTAGGGTTTAGGGTTTAGGGTTTAGGCCCTGCAGTCTTGCTTTCATAAATCCAATGTGTTAAGTCATTATTTTATGTTCTGTGGGTTCGTCTTTCTCGTTGATGTGGTAATCTGGGATGCCTTGACCGATACATCTTGATTTTCACGGGCTGCCACCGTCTGCCGTAACATCTGTAGGTTGTCATTTGCTGTGTAGATGTGGTTGTTTGTCAACTAGGGCATATACTGTTGGTATGGTGGTTGTACGTGCTAGGTGAGTATTTGAAGAAATGCTTCATGAAGGACTTCAGTATCCTTACTTGAATGCCGTAGGGTTGAAACACTGGCCCCACATCTTGTATTGATTCCCCGTTTGTTTTGAAACCATCTTCGGCCGTATTCATCAGTTTTAACATACTCTCGTTGGTGAATCTGTTCTTCTCCCTTCGCAACTCACCCCTTAGCGTATCCTTATACCAATCGGTCATGGTGTTGAACCAACACCTTTTCTTTGTCATGCTTTACGTACATTGCTTCCTTAAAGGTTTCAAACTCGGGGTCTGAAGGTGTTTGAATGTCGATATCATACATACACATATTTGCGGTATTTGCTAGTTTCTGCTGTTCTGGCTTAAAATCTGTGTCACCATCTACTCGTCCAAGGCTCTTAATTTGAATACATTCCGTATACTGCCCTGTATGATTCGGTCATCTTCTAACACTGGGTCTGTGTTGAAGGTGTCCATTAACTTTTTAAATGTGGTTTTGAATTCTTTTTCCTATTTCAAAGAATTCGTTTCCCCACCAAGTCCCCTATGTATCTGGTGGATGTTACATTTGCGCCTTTAGGTTCTTTCCAAAAAATGAAAAGGTCTGCCTTTTGCGTCCTTGAAGGCGGTTTGAATGACACTGTCGTTGTGTAACTCTAGTCTATAAATGTTGCATCTATAGAGTAGATGTTGGCGGTATTTCGTTTTCTGTTTTCCTTCTTTGCCTTCTGCGCACGCCCCTATTGGTTCTTTGTCGTGGTGTTTGTCGTGGATGTTGTCGTATGCATTGTTTGCCTTCGTCTTTTGTTTGCGGTTTCTGAGTTAATAAACTGTCTGATTGAATTGTCTGCGGTGGTGATATTGTACGGTCGTCATAGAAGTTGGTTGGGTTTTTTACTTTAATTCTGGTGCTTTGTAACCCTACACCCTAAGCCCTAAACCCTAGGCCCTAAACCCTAAACCCTAAACCCTAGGCCCTAAACCCTAAACCCTAAATCCTGAACCCTAAACCCTGCTAAGCGACTTTTGTGATGCAGGCTTGAGGATGGTCCGGCCGCTGTCCAAAGGTACTCATAGGACTCCCAGATTGCCGTAGAAAAATGGGGATAGGATTAGGGGGACCCTTGGGAATATACAGGTTTAGGGTTTAGGGTTTAGGGTTTAGGGTTTAGGGTTTAGGGTTTAGGGTATAAGGCCCCTGTTTAAGAGAGCCTATAGAAGAGGGCTAAGAAGGGTTCCTTTTTTTTTGGGTCTCCCCCAAATCCTACCCAGGAGGCTCTGGGCTTGCACTTGTGGGGCCAAAGGGGCTGCCTATGCTGGTGCAGGTACTATGAGTAGTTCAAGAGGGCCAAGATCTCCTTGGCACTCAACACCGTTCTCTTCTGCATGATCAGCAGCTGTCTACCTCACACTGCCCACATCCGTTGTCTCCAAAACAGATGAGCCCACCATCTGCCCGCAATGCGCAAGTATGATCACTGCCAGCTGCGACTGTCAAAACTGGTCCCAAATCTGCTGGCACATCACACTCCCCAACGACATTCCGTCCAAAACAGATGAGGCGACCATCTGCCCGCACTGCACAAGTATGACAAACGCCAGCTGTGACGGCCAAAACTGGTCCCAAATCTGCTGGCACATCACACTGCCCAGCGAAATTTTGTCCAAAACAGATGAGGCGACCATCTGCCCGCACTGTACAAGTATGAAATCGGCCAGCTGTGACTGCCAAAACAGGTCCCACATCTGCTGGCACATCACACCGACCATCGACATTCGCGCCAAAACAGATGAGGCGACCATCTGCTCGCAATGCGCAAGTATGATCACTGCCAGCTGTGACTGCCAAAACTGGTCCCAAATCTGCTGGCACATTACACTGCTGACGACCGTTACCTCCAAAACAGATGAGGCGACCATCTGCCCGCACTGCACAAGTATGATCACTGCCAGCTGTGACTGCCAAAACTGGTCCCAAATCTGCTGGCACATCACACTGCCCAGCGAAATTTTGTCCAAAACAGATGAGGCGACCATCTGCCCGCACTGCACAAGTATGATAACCGCCAGCTGTGACTGCCAAAACTGATCCCAAATCTGCTGGCACATCACACTGCCCAGCGAAATTTCGTCCAAAACAGATGAGGCGACCATCTGCCCGCACTGCACAAGTATGACAACCGCCAGCTGTGACTGCCAAAACTGGTCCCAAACCTCCCGGCAAGTGACACTGCCCATGTCCGGTGCATGCACTGCCGGCTATCAAACCACCTTTCCTCGTGACACAATTGCTATAACGGTTGCAGGAAACTCGAAACTTCCCGTAGTGTGGTGGGGATGCAGCAGTCTCAGTCCATCTAGGCATGTTTCTGGACAAGCATCCAACACGTTGAAGCTGCGGCAGAGCGAAACATGACTGACACCGCACGGGAATGTGCTTGTAGCCAGCGCGGACTGGCAGGACAAAACACCCTGCCGGCGAGAATGTACAGGAGAGCGTGGCAAGTACGAGGACGGCTTTCATAACGATTGGGAGTTGCATGCTGGAGGAAATGGTCGGGCGAGCCTGACGCGCAAAGACGACCATGTGGACAAGTGGTTGATGCTATTTGCTATGAGCGAAGGCAAGGCAATCACAGACCGTAGAACTTGGATTGGAACGTCACAGCGGCGCCAACAAAAAAACATGCAGAAGCTTCACCACACTAGTAGGTGTTACTCTCAGATTAATGGCTTCAGTATCGTGGCAAACCTTGTTCCTAAACCTTGTTCCTAGTATAGATAACTATTTGAGAGGCCATTTTCATCTTCTCGGAATACGGGTTATGGAACAAGGCGCGTTTTGCTACACCCTAGCAAAGGGAATGGGCGTACTTCAGGGTCTAGTACTGCATCGTGCCTTGGGATGTTCCCCCTTATACTAACAGTCCTTAATCGTGATTGCAGGAGCGGGTACTATAATCCCTATTAGGGACTGTTAGTTTCAGGGGGGACATCCCAACCCTAAACCCTAAACGCTAAAACCCTAAACCCTAAATTTAAGCCTAAACCCTAAACCAACTGTAGCATTAGGGGGGAGCATCCCAAATTCTGCCACAGCCTTATAACCCCAGTCTCGAAAAAAACACAATCGCAGACCGGCGGAATGCGCCTTCAGCAACTTAAACCTTGGCCGTGACTCGGGGCTGCAGGTTTAGGGTTTAGTCGCTCACTCTCGCAGGTTTAGGGTTTAGGGTTTAGGGTTTATAAGGGTTAAGGGTTTAGGGTTTAGGGCTTAGGGTTTAGGGTTTAGGGTGAATTTTGTCCGAATCCAATCGCAATTTATTTTCCCGGAAGGGGCAGGGCAATTCCATTTTTTTTGTGCTGGAGCTGCAAACGGCCTTGTTGCAACCTCATGAAGGCTAGGGTTTAGGGTTTAGGGTTTAGGGTTTAGGGTTTAGGGTTTAGGGTTTAGGGTTTAGGGTTTAGGGTTTAGGGTTTAGGGTTTAGGGTTTAGGGTTTAGGGTTTAGGTGTTAGGGTTTAGGGTTTAGGGTTTAGGGTTTAGGGTTTAGGGTTTAGGGTTTAGGGTTTAGGGTTTAGGGTTTAGGGTTTAGGGTTTAGGGATTAGGAGGTTTAGGCTTTAGGAGGTTTAGGGTTTAGGAGGTTTAGGGTTTAGGGTTTAGGGGGGTGGGGGTCCAAGAGCTGGCGTGGTTCAGGCAGGGTCCTTGGTATCCTGGCTCTGAAATCCAAGAACACGACAACCCAATCTGAACAGTCACCCAAGACCCTAAACCCTAAGCTGAAAACCCCAAAACCCTGAAGACTAAACCTAAACCGTGCAGGGCATGGGACTTCAGTTGGAGACCACCAATTGGTGATGTGGCTTCCTGGAAAAGATCCAAGAAACCGGGAAGTTAAGGATTCAGGGCTTTTGAAGCCTTTCCTGGAGGGGACCAAGTGAACCCTAAAATTGGGATCATATACACTCTACTACTGTACTACTATAATCCCTAAACCCTAAACCCTAAACCCTAAACCCTAAACCCCGGTTCATCGAAGCGAAGGCCAGGCGACGCTTCATCGGCGCAGAGTCGCTGCTCGAGTTGGTGGCGCTTCCTTCCCGTGTCGGTGAGATTCGTCCTGAGGTGGGTTTAGGGTTTAGGGTTTAGGGTTTAGGGTTTAGGGTTTAGGGTTTAGGGTTTAGGGTTTAGGGTTTAGGGTTTAGGGTTTAGGACGGGCTAGTCTACCCTAGAACCACCAAGCAAAAGGCCCTTTATAGGGTTGACTATGGGGATTCTAGGGCCTAGTAGCCCATCCTAGGAGGCGGACTTTGCACACCGGCGGGGCGCGGTTGAGCGGGGGGTTGGGGCGCACAATTAGGGCGTCAGTGCTTCTGCAAAGAGCTGTGAGGAAAGAGGAGGTTTTACCACGAGCTTCAAAACCTTTTTGCTCGGCGGCTCTGTGCTAAGGTCAGGAGCGGTGCGGGATCGTTTTTGGAACTGTGACGACTCTGGGCAGGTTCATCCTAAAGTCTGCTTGGCTGAGGTTGAGAGTTCGGGGTCGTGAATTTTGAATGTAGGGCCCCAATATCAACTACTTGGAGGCTCATGGGTAGTTATAAGCAGGGTTATACAAGTATGGTAACTATGCCTAGCAATCCTATTGCGGGTAGTTAAAACAGCCCTACTTACAAGCACCCGTGAACCTCCAAGTACATGTTGCGCCATCCTCCTACAACCCTCCCAAACAGGCCAAGACACCAATTCACAAGCCTGGAAAAACACTGTGAACCCCAAACCCTATAGACCCTATAGACCCTATAGACCCTATAGACCCTATAGACCCTATAGACCCTATAGACCCTATAGACCCTATAGACCCTATAGACCCTAAAACCCTAAAACCCCTGCATGCTCAGGGGTCTCGGCATCCTCCAGAAACGTCGTGGCTCAAAACCCGAACCCATGAACCAGCCAACACTTCAGCTGAGGGGCAGCTTGGATACGACATCCTCCGAGAAGCCTTGCTTTGGGGTTTAGGGTTTAGGGTTTAGGGTTTAGGGTTTAGGGTTTAGGGTTTAGGGTTCAGGGTTTCGGGTTTCGGGTTTCGGGTTGAGGTGTGGGGCTCATGGGGCTTAAGGTGCTTGGTCTCTGGTGTTTCGGGCTCGAGCCAGGGATGCTGGTGTTGGCACCGGGTGCTGTTAGAAGGTTCGACCTGGCGCGGCTTTTTGGGCGCGGGGTGCTAGAGTGGGCCAGGAACCTGCGAAATTTCAAGCCCTGAGCCCCAAAAGACATGCTGCATGGGCCTTCCCAAGGCCCTAGAAGCCCCAAGCTGCTTCACTTGTTGAGTGAGGCATTCTAGGACGCAGAGCTCTTTCAGCTGTCACAAGTTTCACCCGAAACTTTCAAGGCTGCTCAGGCATACGCGTTGTTTGGCTACCCTGGGTTCTTGGACTAGTTTGCCCCCCTGTGCCCCACCCCACCGAAGCACCTGAGGATAGAATTCAGGAAGCCCATAAGAGAACTCCATGTGATCTCCCCATCTTCTGCAACAAAAAAACCCTCACAGCGTGTCAACCCTAAACGGCCCTAAACCCTAAACCCTAAACCCTAAACCCTGAACCCTGAACCCTGAACCCTGAACCCTGAACCCTGAACCCTGAACCCTGAACTAAGGAGTTCCAATGTGTAAGAGGGTTGAGAGGGGCTCGGTCGGGGTTACGGCTCGCGCTGTTTGAGGTATTCGCCGGCACAACTGAATATTCCTCGTCTGATCGAATATAAAATACTCCCATTATACCATGATATGCAATCTCAGTAAAATAAAACTGTAACGGGAGTGGTCTATGAGGGGGTGCTTGAAGGTTCATGGCTAGTGATAGGTAGTGTTATAGGTGCAACAAGTGCCGTCAGAACTGTAGTTACCACACCTAAAACCCTAAACCTAAACATCAACCTACTTGTAAGTACAGATGAACCTCAACCCTAAACCCTAAACCCCAAACCCTTTGCGGGAGGGGGTTGCAAGTAGGCAAGGTCCTCCCAGAGGGCTACCTTGAACTCCCTCGGCCTACTTCATGCTTCCGAAAAACGAGGTCGCCTAAAACACCCTCACACCTATGAACCCGAAATCCTGAATCCTCAGCATAAACCCTACAGCCTGATTCTTCCTAAGCACTGAAACCCCCAACTCCATAGATGCAAGAGCCGAAAAGGGCCCTATACCCTAAACCCTAAACCCTAACCATAAACCCTCCATAGATCCTGAAGCCTTGAAAGAAACCAGGCCCCTGGGATCGACGATGCCAAGGCAACGTTCCATGACATGCGCGGTCGGCTTGTCAGCGCCCGGTTCGTTGATAAACCTGCGGAGGTTTGGAGCTTTGGAGGAGTAACCCTAAACCCTGGACCCTAGACCCTAGACCCTAAACCCTAAACCCTAAACCCTAAACCCTAAACCCTAAACCCTAAACCCTAAACCCTAAACCCTAAACCCTAAACCCTAGACCCAAACCCTACAAACCATACAGCCCTGGATCTTCGACTGCTGGGGTTCGGGGTTCGGGTGTCCGGCCTTGGTGGGGACATGCTGAGACATGCTCTCCTTTGGGTGGCATGAGCTTAATTTAGGGTTTAGGGTTTAGGGTTTAGGGTTTAGGGTTTAGGGTTTAGGGTTTAGGGTTTAGGGTTTAGGGTTTGCCCAGTCGTCCCCAACCCTGCTTGGAAGTTCATGACACTTCTTAACCAATTCTAACTGTACTTATAACAGTACTTATAACCATATTGGGGCACTTAAAGGGCTTGTAAGTGGGTTAGAAGTGCAGTTCTATTTGGTTAATAAGTACCACGAACCTCCAAGTAGGGGGTTTGAGGATTGCATTTGGCAGCTCCATCAGCAATATGCTGACGACGCTCAAGCAATTGAGTTCGGGGACAAGAGGCACTTCCTTCGCGGAAGAACGCTGGTTTTTTCTTTCAACAAATTAACTTACCATACGAGGGTTATTTATACAAACAAAATAGCACCTTTATTCGGGTAACTTCACTCAAGTTGGTGAATGGTTTAGGGTTTAGGGTTTAGGGTTGACCAGATTCCAGCTCAACTCTAGCTCCGATTTCCTGCAAGCATCTCTTCGAAATTAAGAAATGTCCTGAACACTCCAATCGGGCCTGAGCGCGATTAAGGAATATTCCCAACTCACACCCCGATCCCTATCATAGAGCTGAAGGACGATGCCTTAGGTCAGGGGTGTTGGAAC